ACCTTGTGTTTACAAAAAAGTTAGTGAGAATGATGTTGTTTTCTTAATCTTATATGTAAATGACATATTACTAATAGGAAATGACTTTCCTTTACTTCAATCAGTAAATATTTGATTGTCTAAGAATTTCTCTAAAAAGGATATACGAGAATCAACCTATATAATAGGAATTAAGATCTGAAGGGATAGATATAAAAAACTACTTGGATTGTCTCAATCTACTTACATAAACAAGATGCTAAAATGGTTTAGCATGGAAGAATTTAAAAGAGGAAACTTACCGATTTCATATAAGATCTGTCTCTCCAAAGACATATATCCTAAAACACAAACTGAGAGAGATAAAATGGAAATGATTACCTATGCTTCAGTTATATTATTCATTCTCTATATGTTATGTACTAAACTAAATATATCTTATACCTTGAGTATAAAAAATAGATATCAATCTAATCCTGGTAATAGTCATTAGAAAATAGTTAAACATATTCTTAAATACTTAAGGACTAAGAATGTTTTCCTAGTCTTTGGAGGAAATGAACTAAAAGTTTATGGTTATTTAGATGCTAGTTTTTAATTAGATATTGATGATAACAAATCTCAGTCATGATATATGTTTTTACTTTAAATAGAGGTGTTGTGAGTTCTAAACAAGAAACCACAACAGTATCTATAATTGAAGAGGAATGCATATCTGTGTTCAAGGTGATAAAAGAGATTGTTTGGATCAAGAAATTCATTACTGAACTTGATGTGGTTCCTAGCATTATTGATCCAGTAATCTTGAATTGTGACAACAATGTAGCCATTACATAAGCAAAGGAACTAAGATCTCATCAAAGATCCAAAAATGTACCTCGGTGGTGATTTTATCTTATTAGAGAAATCATAAAAATATAAAATATAAAACAGAGCAAGTATCCACTGAAGGGAATCTCGCAGATCTTCTCACTAAAACACTGTCCCAGCATATACATAATCATTATATGGAGAGATATGGTATTAGATTGGCTTTAGTGGAAGAGATTGTTAATTTATATGACAAGTAGCCAATCAATTGGTTACATATGACACTATTTTATTCATGTGGAACATATTTAACTTTATTAAATAAAGACATTATTTATCTTTAATATTCATTAATATTTAATTTATCAGTTTAATATTTGATAAATTAATCTAAAGTAAAGATAAAGTCCATAGAACAAAAACATTTTGCAAAGAAAATTATAAAGATGTTATAATTATGGGATTCTTATTACATTAAAGTATTGTTTTTAAATGTTACAGGTCAATGCTCTCTTAATACTATATATTTTTTAAAGTCATAAAAACTAATATATATTGTGTGATTTTTTTTTTTATGAAAGTAAGTTGTTGTTCTCATAAGCTGAGGTATAAGGGATACTTAGAACTAATATATAGGTGTTTGTCATAAGACATGTACACTAAACTAACTCACATGAAAAAATCATATAGAAATATCACATGTATTTATGTAAAGGCTCCTTAGTGGGGTAAACCCCTAGGTCGAGTCTTATAACTATGGTTTTAATTAGAGATTCCAGCCTGCATGGCAGAGCTAAGTCTTTGAAAAGCTTAAGGCCATGTTTGGCTTTACATTAATTTTTCAAAAAAAAATGCATTTTTTTGGGTCTATAATGTTTGTTTGGTAAACACGTCCCAATAAAAATTTCAAGCCTCATTTTTCTTTTTTCTTTTTTGTAGTGTTTTTTCCAGACATGGTCTTAGTCAATTTCTAATTAACATATAAGGATTTATTTTGCAATTAATTTGGAGTTCTGTTTCTTTTTTATTGTTTCATATTAAATATTTGAAATTATGACCACACATGAGGTGCTTTTATGGTATTAAATAAATTAGTTTCCATTCACAAAAAAAAAAATCTTGCTTTCAAAAATATAATTTTATTTTAAATTGCATTCAGCCAAATTCTAAAAAATATTCATGCATATTTTTTTAAAAAAAAGTGTATTTTTATCATATTTTGAAAAATACAAAGAAAAATAAAGTAATGGGTATCATAACAAGTTTGTGATTATGTATTAGGATCTGGCTAAAATTTCAAAAACACCGTTAATTTTTTAGTCTTATAATGATTAGGTTTTAACTTGATAAGAGAAGGACTTTCTTGTTAAGAAAAACTTTTTTTAAACCTAAAACAGACCAATGAATAGAAACACGAACCTTAGAAAAAATAATCAATTAACAATGCAGTTTATCATAGATGAAAAAATAATCAATTAACAATGCAGTTTATTATAGATAGTGTATACTAAGAGTAATGCGTCTTTCTCGTGCACAACTAGTATCTTTATTCAAAATTTCACAAACCATTAAGCTTGGTAATAACTATAATACTTTATGGCAACTCTTAAACCTATTAATCATATTTTCATGATTGTTTCCCAATACTTACAAACACCATCACCCCTCCCTCTCGATTTAGAAGTTTACTGACAACACATACAACATGAAATTCTCTTATCTCATCAAAAATCTTTTCTAAATACAATTACTCCTATCTACACATTTAATAAATATATAGTACCACAAAATTTTAAGCAAGGTTTTCATCTCCCTTAATTTCTCTCATGGCTGACGATAAAGACACAAGAATTTATAAAAAAAAAAATCAACTTTTTTCTTCAATTGTGGTTGTTATTTTCACTATTAATATACCCATCAAGCAACAATTCATCAAAACAATTATTTCCATAAAAAATACAGAATTTTATTTTTGGGGGGGGGGGGGGGGGTTCATCCCCTCATCACCAAATCACCAAAACAAGAAAAATAATCATAGAAAACATCTTTCTTACACAAATTCAACTCAATTAATAGTTTACTTTGCAAGTTATCATTAGAGCCTTCTTCCTTCTCCAAATAATGTTTGATTATCTCTCTAAGTTCTAACCTCTTATTAGAATCAATTTCTTCCTAACTCATTCTGTCTCCAAGAATTAAGAAGAAAAATAAAAAGAAGAAGAAAAATAAATGAAAAGAAACGTTGCCTCTACCCTTTTTGCTGCTGGAATTTTGGACCAGCTTATAAGAAAAAGGGAGGTGGGGTTGTTTTTGTATAATTATAAAATCATTTATGCAGGTAAATGGAGGGTTTATACAGACAATCAATATTATGCATGAGTAAATTTATATTTTCATTTACTTGGAGTTCCATTATATTTTTCTCTAAAGGTTTTTTCCCAATTCATGAATTTTCTTTTAATAATATATTATCTTGTTAGAATTTATTCAATTTATAATGATGTTTACTGTACTATTTTATCAATTTAAAACTGGAGGTTTACAAATTTTACTTATCATGGCTTTTGTTATTTTTTATAATTTCTTTTATTTGAATTTATCTATAAAAACAGGTTTTGCATATTGCAGCTAAAGCTTTCTTGACGCAGCATCATGGTTGGTATATTTAATTTCCTTTTCTTTCCCTTGTGTTTACTTGTTCTTTTTCATCCTCTTTTGAATCTGTTATCTTTCTATGTTTGCAGTTTTATTTATGCTTAATTATTTCTCCTTTATGAGTTTCGTATTTGAATTATAAATGGGTTAGAATTTTGTTGTTTTGTTTGTTTCTTTTTTATTGCAGGCAAATTATAGGATGGTTCCAGTGATGGGGTTACATGTATGTTTAATTTTTATTATGCAAATCATTTTGTAAAGCTTCACAATCTGCACGTTAGCCTTTTTTGTCTGCTACTTTATACTTTATTAAATTATTCATTTTAATCTTCACTTTGAACTTTCTATTTGTTTCTATATGATTGAATCTATTTATCTTCGAGTAAACAAGAGTGCTAGGATTGCATTGCTAAAATACCTTCTTGTTCTTTGTTTAATCTGTTTCAATTTATGGACTATTGGAATATTATTTGGAGGTTTCTATTAGTTGGCTCATGGCTTTGGTGATTGGATTATACCTGTAAATAATTGTGGGAAAACACATTGCAAATTTTAACAAATTACAGAAAGTAAGATATTTTTGAAAAGTTAAAGGGAACAACTCTAACACAATCTCAAGCATAAATCATATATCAATAATGTATATTGAATTAATATTTTGAATCATACACACATATTGCATGATCATGAAATGTAATGATAAACTATTTTGGAATTAAAATTTATCATTCCAATAAAAAAAATAAAATATTAAATAGAACAAAATTGATAAGGACTCAATTATCCAACCATTAAAGATATATTGTGATAATATCATAGCAATTTTTTTTCTTTAAGAATTGAAAGCATTCTAATGGTACATAACATATAAATTCGAAATATTTGGTTGCTAGAGAGGGTCTAGAAACCATTAGTTTCAATTAAAAACATTAGTTGCACTTCTATGATTGTTGACCCATTGATCAAAAAGGATTGCCTCTCAAGGCATACAAGGAGCATTTCATTAAGATGGGTCTTTTATTGTGATACTTTGTATGTTTAAGTAGTTATAAAAATTGACACTTATGCACAATTATATTATATGTTTATGCCGTTTATGTTCTTCTGTTATGCATGTGTGTGTGGTTGATGAACAAGAAATGTTCTAAGACAGATTATAGGTGGTCATTAAATTATAAAAGATTGTATTAGTGATGGTTGAAAATATGGTAAAACATTGAAGAGAATATTACATGTATGCTGTATGACTTATGACTCGTATTAATGAACTAAGTAATTATAATGTGACCTAAGCTAATTATAATGTGACCGAGGTAATTTTTTAATTTATTGAAGCGGCCCAGTAACCTTGTGTAAGCATTTATGTTTAACTTAGATTTTCAATTAAAGATAAATTGACAAATTTTACCAATTAATTTGTTTAATAATCACTGAGGAACTTAAAGAATCATGATGGATAATTATCCTCCGAATTATGTTCTTGACCCAGTACAGAAGAACACCAAATAAATTATAATAGATAATTGAAAACAAAATTTATAAATTAGAATAGGTGACAAAGCGAGAAAGGCGTGAATTTTTATTTTTTTTAACAAGGGTTTCTTCAGATATCATGGCTTCCAATGATATGCAATTCCATCCTGCTGTTTTATTTTATAGAATGTTATGGGGTTACTCCTAGCGGTCTTTGTATGGTACCTCTCATAAGCAATTAGACAATTCCGCTTTCAGGGTTAGGGACTATGTATACAAAATCCAACAAATGCACTGTTCTAAAATACAAACATGCAGATCAGTGGATGAGCTTCCGTCCCTGAGGCATCCCAACTATTCATTGACAAACTTGGGGATGGGACTCCCTAATCTTAGCAGAAAACCAACTTGAATGATACTAGAGGATGCCTTTAAGATTTCCTTTTCTGCTTCTCCTGCCAGTTCCATGGCGTCCCTATGATGCCGCAAGGAAAAATATCAAACACAGCACAGCATGATGATCAAGAACATCAAAAGGCTGGCTTACATACCTAATCAAGATGCTAGGGCGCATGGAAATTTCAATTTGGAGTAATATATTGCCTTGCATCAGGTGGCGGGTTATACGCTCAACCTCTATTTTCTGAAATCCATTAAAACCTCTTATAGATTGAAAGAAAGAAAAGGTTAAAACAATAAAATGAGACAAATACCTCCGGGATCTTTGATGAGAAAACGCCAGAAACAATCAATTCAATGTCTTTGTCATCCAAAGAAATCTTTTTATTCTGATTCCCTTTTCCATTTAAATTTTCTTCTTGATCCATCGTAGTAGGAGAAATACATAAATATGCGGGATCTGCAAGCACATTAGAAAATGTAATAGGACACAACTGTAGAGTCAATTGTATATATGTAAAGGGAAAAGGTGATCACATATGGTGAATTGTTAGACAAACGGTAATGACACTTAATCTGGAAAGCAAAATAAGGACATAAGAAAGATGGTTAGACATTGAATCATTTGATAGACCATGTTGACCAAGAAATTAGAAGGCAAACAGAAAATCAAGGGTTTGGAACTTTGGATTAACAACTAAAATAAACAGGATCCAACTGACACTCCTTGTTGGGACTACCCAATTAGATTTCGAAGGCTTTTAAGTCAAATAATAATTATCCAAAAGATGTCATCCATTGTGTTACCCTCTCTCTCGACCATTTATGGCAGATGATAGAATCAAGTATCATACCTATGTGTATAAAAACTTCAGCTATTCCTGGATGGGAGTTGTGAATTTCCTGGCGAACATTTTCACCGATTTCATGAGCAGCACTAACACTAAGAAAAGGATCAACCTGCAAGTATAAATCAAGAGGGAAACCACAAGGTCAATTGTCTTAACATAAATTCAGTTTTTCAACTAAACTTCGAATTGTACCACAAAAGCATCAAACAACTTGACATTCAGAAGAACAACCCACCACAATATGTACATCAAGGTATAGAGATGAACCAGCTCTCCTTCCTCTCAAGCGATGGCATCCCTGTAAAAAATTACAAAGGATTCTTGAGCAACAATGCAAGGAAGCAAAGACCAACTAAAAATACTCAACCATCATTCAACATATATGACAGGATCCTAGGCCTTATAGATTGCAATGGTTGAATGAATGTGGTGAAGTGAGGGTTACTAAGCAGGTTTTGATTGCGTTTGCTATTGGAAAGTATTCTGATGAGATTTTATGTGATGTCGTCTCGATGCATGCTAGTCACTTACTTTTAGGGCGTCCATGGCAGTTTGATCGGAAAGCGATTCATGATGGGTTTAGAAATAGATTCACTATTGTAAAGGATGATAAAACCATCACTCTTGTACCTCTTTCTCCGAAACAAGTATATGATGATCAAATCAAATTAAAAAAGGAATGTAAGGATGGGAAGAGTGAAAATTCAAGTGAGGACAATGGTGAGAGAAAATCATCAGATTCGGCTAAACCTAAATCATTAATTAAACCGATTGAGAGTGGAGATAAAAACTGAGGAGTGAAGAAAGTAAGCTTGTGTGATGATAATATTGTGGAAAAATTAAAGAAACAACCTAATTTTTATGCAAAAGGATCTCAAATCAGATCTTCATTTTTCACTAATAAGCCAATGATCTTACTTGTGTATAAGGAGGCTTATTTTAACACTAACGATCTTGATTCTGCTATTCCTAGTGTGGCTGTTTCTTTGATGCAGGAGTTTGATGATGTATTCCCTGAAGACATCCCTAATGGATTACCACCATTAAGGGGGATTGAACATCGAATTGATCTTGTGCCCGGAGCTTCAATTCCTAACCGTCCAGCCTATAGAAGCAACCCCGAGGAGACGAAGGAGCTTCAAAGGCAAGTAGATGAGTTGATGATGAAGGGGTACATTCGTGAGAGTATGAGTCCTTGTGCTGTGCCAGTGCTACTTGTGCCTAAAAAGGATGGAACATGGAGGATGTGTGTTGATTGTCGTGCTGTCAATAACATAACGGTAAAGTATCGACATCCTAGGCCTGATGACATGCTAGATGAGTTACATGGATCATGTATTTTCTCTAAGATTGACTTAAAAGTGGGCTGTCCAACCAAAGCCTTATGCAAAGGCGGAGTCACCTAAGGCCAAAAAGGATACTTATATAGATGGGAAAGGTAAATCTGAATCTCCACCTACTCGTGATAAAGATATTAAATGCTTTAAATGTTTAGGAAAGGGGCACATTGCATCTCAGTTTCCAAACTGAAGAGTTATGCTTATAAGAGACAATGGGGATGTTGAATCTGAAAGTGAAGAGATGCCACATTTGGTGGATTGTAGCGATGAGGAGATTGCATATCCTGTTGAGGGGGAGGCCTTGGTTATAAGACATGCGCTGAACATGCAAATCAAAGAAGATGATGTAGATCAGCAAGGGGAAAATATATTTCACACTCGATGTCACATCCAAAACAGGGTGTGGTTTCCAATTTAATAATAAGAGTTTATACTATACTTGTTTGACATATTATTAGTGGATCTTCTAACCTTGACATTTCTTATTATCATTGTTTAATCCTTACGTTAATCTTCCATCTCAAAGTTCTCATAAACTTATTCTGCTTCTTTTACTACTACTACTACTACTACTATTGTTGTTGCTGTTGTTATTGTTGTTGGTGCTATCTATAATTTATACAATTAACATCCTTGTAGTTCAATCTCGGTCTTGCCGGGTTATTTATTATTTCGACACTCCTGCACTTGGGAGAAGACATCAATCTTTTGGTCGTGTCAGCTATGAAATTGAGATTAACAAAAACTTCTTTGACACACCTTGTTGTGTGTGTTAGTGAGATATTCTCCCTTCATTATTTCTCTAAAGAACTGAAAATGACTTATTTAAGAACAAATGACCTCATGTCATCATCTTTATCCTTCTCGTTTGTGAATCAATATTTATTGGGTAGGGTTTTTTTTTCCAATAGTACTATTGCCTAGATACAAGTTATCTTTATGTCATACTCTTATAAACTTATTTACTTAGCTTTTAAGAATGTGCTGTCTTTGCATATGAGTTACTTGACCACGTGTTTATAAGGTTTGCATTATTTAGTAGTTAAATCTAATCAATTAATAGAGACTGACAATCATCTGTCACCACCAATTATACCCAAACAAAGTGGATAAGGCATACAACAAGAAGTATTATGCTGATACATTTTGCGTATTAAAAAAAAAATCAAACTTTGGCCAAGAATTATTTAGTGTATTTTCTTTTTTTTAAAAAAAACCTTTACATGATTTTGTAAACTTAAAAGACATTGTTTTTATGTTTTTACAAAGGTTTTTAGGAAATGAAGTTATTAGTATAAATGCTGAAGTCAAATTGATATTTGTTTTTAAGGAGTTTTGAAAATTTAAGTGATCTCCTAGTGAGGAGGTGACCAAACAAAAAAAAAAAACAACCAAACACCGCAAACTGACTTTGAAGATGATTTATAATTATAATAAAAACAATTTTGCATAGCCAAAATAAGAGAAAGCAGAAGCTTACTAATCCTAAATGCATGTGTTTAAAATGAAAAAAAGGTCATCATTAATAATCCTTTCACAATACTACAAATATATCATTTGTAGCCCCCATTTGAGTCTAATATGTTTTTCTTACAAATCAACCCTAACTAGGAACACATCATAAATTGAAGTAAAGTGCAAGGATTAAAAAGCAGTTTGATTGCAAGAATATATATAAAATAATCTTTCATGATCAAAGGTGCTCAAACAAAGTTAAGGCATCAAGGAATTCAAAGATTCAAACAGTTGCAGATATGATGATGATGCTCAAGTCTAAATGAAGAAAACAAAGACAAGTACAAAGCTTGACACCAGGGGCACATCAAGCCATTTTGAAAAGTCAATACAAAGGTATAAGAATCGGTAGTGATGTGTAATTAGTACTTAAAAGTGCATTTTTATCAAGGTTTTATATCATCATTTTGCACTTAAAATATCAATAATTCCTTAACCAAAGTATGTTTTATAATAACAAGTCTAATAGCATAAGATATGGTAAATGTTGATCATAAATGCAGGCCTATCACATAAATGAAAGGATTGATTAATGAGTTGAAGTACAGAAATTTAAAGGACAAAGAGAGGGTGAAGCTTAGAAAAGAGATGTTAGTTTAGTCCAAACTTAAACACTATTCTGTAATTGGATCATATCTGGAGCTGTAGAACTTGCATTTACGTCTGCTTTATATAGATGGAAAGCCAAGACATGGGTCTAAAACTTTCATGCGAAAGGTAAGACTCAATTCTACTGTTTAGAAGTCCAAATATTAGCAACAATATAAAAGTCTAAATCTGTCCTGCAGCCCAAACACTGTTAAGAGTTCAGCCCATATCTTGATTTTAGAAGTCCAAATGACCTCAATTTTTTTCTTGGAAAACTATGACAATGTCCTAGAATTTCCATAAGAAAGGTTAGTTCAAATTCTAACGTTATCAATGATGTTTTTCTTAGACAATAGGATAAGGATTCTGACGCGATCAAAGATTTGATGTCTTATCCCAAATGCATGAGTGTCAAAGTAATAAATAACTCGGTAAGACCGGGGTCGAATCACAGGGAAGTTAACTATAAAAATTATAAATAATAATAATAGTAGTAAGAACAACAACAATAACAACAACAACGATGGTGGTGGTGGTGAAATGAGTTAAAGAGAACTTTGAGATGTAAGATTAATGTGAAGATTACACAATGATAAAAACAAACGTCAAGGTTAGAGGATACACTAATAGTATTAGAGATAAGTAGGGTATAAACCCTTTATTAATTATCAACATGATCATATTAATCATTTTATTCACATAACATCATGAATTTTATCAAGTATTCATGATGCTAACTTATGTTGACAACAAAATCAAATTCCTCTCATAATAACGATGTCGGCCAAAGACTATGAAGGATCAAGTATTTGATGTACCAAGTGTCATACAACACAAATCTATATTAACCATTTAACCTATATTAAGAATTAATAAGATAAAAATGATAAGACATGTTAATAGCAAGTTGTTTAGGATATAAGCACTGAAGTCTATATTGAGTTTATATTATACTTATTCTAATACTATTAGTGAAATCTTTTCACCTTGACATAATTAAATTAACTAGACATTATGCAGGAGAAAAACTTAAAGAAACAATATAAGAACTGATACGATCCAAGCAAGGTCAAATTTGGATTTTGATGTAAAATGTACAATTATCCAGTTCTACGGCAATAGTCATAATTCTCAATCCGGTCGTTGGATCGAGCTAAGATTTTACATGGAGTCTCCTGACATATTGTATTACTCTAGGCTACAATTTGAGGTCAATCGGAGTTCGGGAAGGCATCTCAATACAGGTCAACAGAGGCTGTACGAATTTTGTTATTTACTTCTTTTGACTTGTGGACTTCCTATTTGGCTAGGATTCTTTTCCTAAAAGGATGTGGCAGCTTATTTTGGAAATATACTAGTTTTAAAAGGATGTTTAATGGGCTACAACATAGTTTCCAAGTGTGGTAAGGATTTATAATTATTTCAGAATCCTTTTCTTACAAGGATTACTTATTCATCCGAGCTACAAAAGAAAAGAAGACTTTAGAATACATGCTACCTTTAGATTAGATTTTCTAGTCTATTTAGGGCTTCTTAATGGTGACAAATCTGATTCTAGCATATTTAGGATAGTAATTTTTGGATTTTTTTTTTTTAATGTTGTTTGGCTGACATTCCGAAAACATCAACCTTGAGAGAGAACTGGAGAGAGAGATTAGAGATCAAACTATCAGAGCTAGATCTACTCTGTCCACCGTTGGATCGTCCTCATTTCTTACTATGTTGTTCACTCCAGCCTTCTCGAAACATTGACCGAATGGATCGTCATTCCAATCAACGAGGTGGGAGATATTGATCTCGTAATATTTCTACTGTTCTGCATTTTTAGTTGAAGCAGAGTGAATTGGGTTTTGTTGAAGCTTGATCTTCTTTGTTCGCCGTTGGATCGTCACCATTTTT